GTTCGCTTGCAGTTTCCGTGAAACCCTTTGCCATTTCTGTCGCCTTTGGAGGTTTGTAGCCGTTCTGCATCTTCTACACTCATTACAGTGGTAGATGTAAGAAGAGACCATACTTCTACATCCCAAAATCCATATGCCATTTGCATGCAATTCATTCATAGTCATGCCTCTTCCTTGGTGATGAACGTGTTCATGGTAGTGTTTGATGAGGAGGGTTGACACATGAGACTTCTTGGGGAGAATTGCGGGGTGCTTGACATGATGTAAGGCTGATTGGGACAACCTTCCTCCCACCCTGAGAACATCGGACTTATCTAGGAAAGCATTTAGCTGCCTTAGTTTGTTATGCTTGTGTAGAGAATTTTCCTTCTGAGATCTAATTTTCTGTATTACTTTAATAAAAGCCTTTCTTTGCGCTAGCTTGATAATGAACACTTCTGTGTCTCTTCTCTCTTCCAGATTTGTTACTTGGTTTGTTCTTTGTTGAATACCCTTAAACTCTTTGATAAATCGTTTGAGTCTGGCAATAGCCTTTACAGCTCTCGACCAGAGAACTTCTTTAAACGCTCTAGAACTGGGTTCACTTCCTTCGACTGTACTGTGTATGTATGACCTTTACTGAGTTGAAGATCTGTTTCTTCAACTTCTCCCACCATTTCCTCTTTGATTGGAAGATCTTGTTCCCAAAGTGATTTGGGGTTCTTCAGCCAGTTTGATTCTTTTAGCTGAGTAGTGGCTAAACCTTTTGAGGTTTGATCAGCCAGATTTTCTGTGTTGGATGTTAACAGGAGTTTGTAGTGTCTATTTCTCTTTCGTTTTATGTTTTTGGTCACCTTTGACCTGAACAGAATTTCTTCCTGCGAGACTGGTTGGCTGTCCGTTGCGTGCTTAGGAAAATCGGGTTCCAAAGTCTTTATCACATCAGTTGGACTGACTTCTTTTGCTTGGATTCTGCATACAAAATGCACATGTTGCTTGGGTTCAACTGCTGGTAGTGACACAGGGGTTTCTTCATGAACAATGATTCTGTGACTCGTACTGATAACATCCTTTTGATTTTGAACTTGAGATGCGCAACCAACTATGCTCCAGCCGAGATCGGTTAACTGTGCATAAGGTTGGTTCTCCCTGCCTGCAAGAACTTCGCGTGGTAAAAGGGCTTGTTGACAGTTATAGCCAATAAGAAGACCAACTTCGCATTCGAGCATTGGAGGTAGCTTATCCGCCAGCCTTTCAAGATGAGGCCACTTTAAGGCGGTTTCGGATGTTGGGATGTGTGACCTGTTAACAGGGATGAACTCTCTCGTATAGACTGGTGGCAATGTGATTCTCCTTTCATGCTTATATCCTCTAACTTGAAGGTTTACCAGCTTGTCACATGGTATTACTGTCGACTTGGCAGACATAGTTGACAGCCGCAGGTTGACCTTACCTTTATCCGTGTCAATATTTTGGGCTACTTCATCTAAAATGAAGGATGTATCGCTCCGTGAGTCAAGGAGTGCATATACTAAAACTTCTTTGTTTGGGTGATTTTTTGATGAAACCCAGACAGGCACTATAGAGGACGTTAATGCGCTTGAAGTCGATCGGGTTACTCTATTAGAGATTGCTGGTTCAGCTCCTTCTTTAGTGTCTGCCTCTTCTTCATCTTGAGTATTATCGCTCGGTGCAGATATTACCCCTTTACGTTCAACGAACTTGTTGTCGTGCAAGCATGTAGGATGTTTCCTTTGACATTTTTCACATGTGATCCTGGCATCACACTCCTTCGAATGATGTCCTCTCTTCAAGCATCCAAAACACAGCCTTTCTGCTTGTGCAAACTGGATACAATCTTGGACAGGGTTTTCTGTGAATTTGAAACATTTATCGAGTGTGTGACCGTTTCCTTTGCAGAAAAGACAGGTTACCGTATATGTGTGGCTTGAGTTTGTTGTTAATGTTTTTGCTTGAATGACTTGGCTGCCTGAGCGTTTGAGCTTACTCATTTCCAAACCTTTGAGAGCTTGTGCTGAGGCTATGGGATCACAAGCTAAGTCAGCTTCAGTGGATATAAAATCAACAAACATGTGAAAGGATGGATACCTTTCATCGCCAGCCTTTGTCATTTTCATGGCTTTCCGGTTCCATCTTGCAGTCAACCACTCTGGAAGTTTTAGCAAAAGTTTCTAAATTTCCATACAGTCATTGAGAACCTCCAATGTCGTTACGTGTGACATTGCAGCTTCACAAGTCTTAAGGAAATCAACAAACTCTCTCAACTCATTCCATCCTTGGAGTTTATTTTAGGCCAATTGTTAAGCTTGTCTCTAAAGCATTTTCCTATGGTGAATGGTTTTCCAAAGCGCTTTTCTAGCACTTTCCAAGCCGAATCGTATGCTTCATCTGTGCCCAATAGGAGAAGGTCTTCAACCGCTCTCTTCGCTGGTCCACCGAGGTACTTTCTGAGATAATAAAGTTTCTCATTCTTTGGAATGTTTTTTCTTTCAATCAGGATTTCAAATGATAACTGCCAGTCCTTATACTTTAAAGGGTCGCCAGTAAACAATGCAGGTTCTGGAGTTGGAAGACGATTAGCATTTATTGCTTCCGCTAGTATGCTAACTAGCTCGTAATTCGGCTGTTGTTGAATTGCAATGGAGGAGACTCGTGTAGCTTGAGGGATGAATGGTGGGCTTGATGCTTTGAGTGCTTGGTTTGTGGTGACCTCAGGTTGGTCACCAGGATTTGGTTGAGCTTGGTTTAAGACTGTAGGAATGTGCGGCGCAGATCCAAAGTGAGTTTGTGTGACTTGTGGGATGAATGGTGGGCTCGATGCTTTGAGTGT